AATGCCACTTACAGCCTTGCTGTGATGCTGCTTAGTCTTACCTGTGTGCTTGAGGGAATTGAATCTGGATGAAAAGGTGTGCTGCAAATGTAAGTTGCTTAAAGAAGCAGCATTAGCATTAATAAATGCCAACACAGGTCTAGTCCCATTCTAAATTTTTTTTTACAGCTGGTGTAGCTTACAGTTGAAGGCTTAAAAATCCATATCTTGACATAACCTAAGGATTTAGGCTGAAGTTCAGCTGCTAATGCACATGTTTACCTCATCATGCAGGTGTGCTTACTTCATTCTGTTTTAAAAAAATAAATCTGTCTGCTGACTTGACCTGTCATCTAGAGAGCTTTGATGCTTGTTGGGAGCTCATATTCAAGATGCTATAGAGAGGCTGTGAGGCTCATCTGACCCTCTTTTAATCCCTGCTGCTCTTTCACATAAGCACCAGTGATACTGTTGGGGTGACCTGGTAAGCATAACGTGATTATGTGGCTCTGGGGGTGATGGTCAAGGGCATGGGGAGTCAGGTGGTGTTATCCTTGATCCTGCCAGTAAGAGGGAAGGGCATGGAGGACTGGGTGAAGTATGTGAGGCCTTCTTCAGACAACTGGAAGAAGCCTCATGTTCACAGGTTCTGGTCCTCACGAGGGACTACAATGATGCTGATAATCTACTGGAAGGACAACAACAGGGCACAAATGATCCAGGAGATTTCTAGAGTCCACTGATGACAACTTCCTGACACAAATGATTGAGGTGCCAACAAGGAGAGGTGCTCTGCTGGACCTGATACTTAGGAAGAACTGGTTGTGGATGTCAAAGTTGGGGTGGCAGCCTTGGCTGCAGATACCATGAGGTGGTGGAGTTCAGGATCCTGAGAGGAGGGAGCAGGACAAAAAGTAGGACCTCAGCTGTGGGCTTTGGGAAAATAGACTTTGGTCTCCTCAAAGATCAGCCTGGAAGAATCCCATAAGATACAGTACTGGAGAGAAGAGGGATCCAAGAGACGCAGTTGATATTCAAGCTAAAAAATGATCTGTCCTGACAAGCAGGAAATGAAGCATGGATCAAGTAGGATTTTGTTTTCATTGGCTTTGGTAAGGCTTTGGACTCTGTATCTGAAAACATGCTAATAGAGAAGCAAAGTATGGGTTAAATAAGCAAACAGTGAGATCAATTGAAAACTGACTGAATGTGCCCAGCTGGTGCACAAAGTCCAGTAGGAGGCAAGTTACTAGTGGTGTACTCCCAGAGTAAAAAATTGATCCAGTCTGTTCAATGCCTTCATTAATGATCTGGATGATGGAGCAGAGTACACCCTCAGCAAGTTTGCTGATGATAGAAAACTGTGAGGAGTAGTTGATACACCAGGGGGTTATGCTGCCATGCAGAGGGACCTTGATAGGCTGGAGAATTGGGCAGAGAGGAACCTCATGAAGTTAAGTAAGGGGAAATGTGAAGTCCTGCCCCTGGCCAGGAATAATGCCATGGAACTGTACATGCTGGGCACCAACTGGCTCCAAAGCAGCTCTACAGAAAGGGTTTAGGATTCTGGTGGACAGCAAGTTGAGCATAAACCAGGAATGCACCCTCAGGGCAAGGATGGCCAACTGCATCCCGAGTTGGATTAGGAAGAGCATTGCCAACAGATCGAGGGAGATGATCCATCCTCACTGTTCAGCACTGGTGAGGTCACATCTAGAGTGTCAAATTCAGTTCTGAGCTCCCTAGTGTAAGAAAGAGCTGGACTTACTGGAGCAAGTCCAGCAAAGAGCCACAAAGGGACTGGAGCATCTTATGTATGAGGAGAGGCTGAGATCAAGCCTCAAGAATGGAAGGCTCAGAAGAGTGGATCTTATCAATATGAGTAATACCTGATGGAAGGGAATGAAGAAGAAGAAGAAGCAGCAGCCAGATTCTTTTCAGTAGTATCCATTGACAGGACAAGAGTCAATGAGCATCAATTAAAACACATGAAATTCCGTCTGAATACAAGGAAACTTTTTTTTTTTTTTTTACTATGAGAGTGATCAAAAACTGACCTAGAGAGGTTGTTGATTCTCTGCTTGTGGAGCTATTCAAAAGCCATCTGGACATAGTCCTGGGCAACCTGCTCTAGGTGACCCTGCTTGAGCAGCAGGAGGGCCGGACGAGATGACCCCCAGTGGTCCATTCCAACTGCAACAACTCTGTGAGCTCTTTTTAAAGTCCTGACGCTAAATGCAGTAAACTTGAAAAAACAGAGAAGAAGAAAAACTTATTCAGTTGATTACTCTCATGCTAAAGGGATGGAATCTGTTTTTTGATTTGTCCCAGTATAACTGTGGTAGCTAATGTCATCTCATAATTTTAGCATTCTAGAGTGAGAAGGTTTTTCTCCAACATTCATATAGGGTGGGCCAAAGGAGAGTGCAGTAATACTAAACAAGGAACAAAGGTTCATGGCACTACAGTCACTGGTTATAGCAACAGATATGTTGTGCTTGAGTTCTTCCACAGAATGCAACACACTTCACCTGAGGCACTTCAAATATGTATGGCTTATAGAAAATGTTGATGCCCTAGAGAAAAAGGGGAAGAAAAGTTGTTATGCCAAGTGAAGCATTGCACTTATCCTTCAGAGCATAATTTGCACCTATATATATACAGATCACTGCATCTGAAATGGGAGAAGTAGACAGGATGATGTTTGATAGGCAGTTCTTTATAATATAAATCAAATGGGAAACACATCTCGACCAAGTGTGTGCCTCCCTATGAAAAGCTTTGCAAGTATTGAAATTCAGGCTGTTAGTTTTCAGATAGTACTAACTGGAGAGGATTCTGAATTTTGCCCTTCTATGTTGCCATTCCAAAGTTGGGGTAGGTTCTTAGATTATACATTAGTGAATTTTTTAATGCCCGTTTCTTTAGAGATGCTTACTACTTATTGTAAGGAGGAGCAAGAAGTTTAATCTAGTTATGAAATGTAGCAGCTTTTAAAAGGAAGTCTCTGCTCAAAAAGCTGTAGGATTTTGAGCCAGTGAACAACAGTGTACATTTACCCAAAGAATCCAGGTGGCTCTGGGCTCTGTTCAATTTCTACATTAGCTGTGAAATGATCTGAGCAACACATTTTAGTCACAGTACTGAAGGCATTGTTAGGTTTTATTTGTTAACGGGTGTTTTATCAAGTTACGGTCCTCACATATTTATTACTCCTCAGAAACAAAGATTTGTGCTGAAGTAGATAAGGGGAATACAGATGAGCAGCAAGTACAATAACTTTTTCCTTGAGGTAGTAACACATAACTTTGTATGGCAACTTGTTAAACTGACTCCAGCCAATACACAAATCATCTCTCTGTGCCCTTGGGATGTTTCCTGT